CTGTCGTGGGAAGATGCCAAGAACTTGTTTCAAAGCTTACTTGTTTTGCTTAACATGCATAGTACAATCACATTGATAGACAAAATGATACACACACACACACACACACACACACACGCGCGCGCACACACACACACACACTCACAGTCACTCTTCTGAAGGTCAGGAAGGACACGCACCACGCTGTAGGGAGGGGTGTAGGACTGGGGGGGGTTAGGCCTTTTTGTTTTATTCCCCGTGCTTCTGGAATTTTTTATTTTTATAATGAGAATGCTTGAAAAACATTCATAAAGATGTTTTAGGTAAGAAAACATATAATTTTAAACACAAGGCATCATCATACAGCGTGATGTGTGCTAAGGGGGAGCCCCGGGTGGTAGGAGCATAGAAAAGGGCAGCTAAAGGATCATCAGGGAAGGCTTCCTGGTGGAGGAGGGACCCAGCTCTCAGAGGATGTTGCTTCTCCTTGAACCAGTGGAGGACCAGCCCCTGTCCTCAGTTTCACCCGCCTCTGCAGCAAGACAAATAAGCCCTAGAAGGACCTGCCTCTCCTTCCTCCTTCAATGCCCCTGGGATTAGCTGGGCCAAGATGGAAAGGAGGAGCCGTTGCCCACAAACATTGGAGCCCCTGCTTGGGCATCGTCTCATTATAATAATGATAAACTCAGATTAGTTAATAATCACCACTTAGTGCCAGGTGTTGCTGAAGCCCTTTGTCTTCACTTAGAGAGGAGCACTATTATGATCAACGTTCTAACTTTACAAATAAGAAAATGGAGGCAAAGAGAGGTTAAGTGACTTGCCCAAGGTCACACAGCTGGAAAGCGGCACAGCCTGGATTGTGAACCTTGATCCAGACCCTCACCATCCCACTGGGCTGCCTGTCCTTCCAGGGGCTCACTCTCTCCAGCTGTCCCCCACCCAAATCCTTCCTCCTCCCCTGGAGTTCCCCCCTCTCCCCTCTCTCCCCACCTTCCGTCCACTGCAGGGCTGGCACTGAGGAAGCTCCGCTTCCTCCCGCAGAAAAAGCACATTTCAGAGGCCCCGCTTCCTAAAGGAGATCCTCCCCCCAAACGCTTTAGAATTTATTTATCTAATTAAAAACCTCTCAGCAGCCCACCCCGCTGGAAGAGTTCATATTTAACCACCACACAGCGCCAACCCAGCACATCCGGGGAGGGCGGCCCCACCCCGGGAGCACCCCCTGCCAGGCCTTGTGGGGGCCAGGGTGACCAGAGCAGCCATCCGTCCCCGCAGAGTCAGCCTCAGCCACCTGCGCTTCCGGCCGAGGAACCTGCTGCTCAGAGCCTCCTTTTTAATTAACTCCATATCTCAGGCGGCCGGAGCACGTGGGCACACTTCTGTCTGACTTCCCTGCGAAGCCCGAGCACATCCCAGTTTGCTTTCTAAGAATAGAAGCAGGAGATGGGGAAGGAGGAGGCCAGGATCTAAAAATGAATGTGCAGCCCAGAGCAAAACAAGCCCGCCAAGGAGAGGGGAGAGACAGTGGCACGCCGCTAGCAGCCCGGCCCGGTGGGGGCTGTCTGCTGCGCTCAGGGTGTGAATCGTAGACCTGCTGGCAGTCTGCCCGGCTGTCTGGCAGGGATGGGGGTGGGGGGGGAGTGGCGCTGCTCGTGCCAGGAGCCGGCAGCTGGGGACACCCATGGGAGTCTGGACGTTTCTGGGCTGGTTGGTTTTCCCCGGTAGGCAGAGGTGACTCATGGGCTTGCAGGCTGGGCTCCGGGGTTCATGAGAGCCCCAGATGTTGCCCAAGGTTTCAGGAATCCAGGAGCCAAAGGCCTTGGGGGAGATGGGGTGGCGAGGTTCTACCATCAGGGGTACCTCTTACCTCCACCTGGAAGGTAAAAGAGAAGCGGAAACTCGAGTCCCACTGCTCAGGGAGACACTTAGGAATGGATGGGGTGGCTAATACTAACAAAATCAATAACAACAACAGAAGAACAACAGCTCTGTCCGTCACTTGAAATATCGCACTTGAGCCTCGCGACAACCACGCGTGGGACAATCTATTCTTGTCCCTAGCCTACTGATAAGGAAACTGAGGCCTGGGGAGTTGGTCCTGTGCCCAAGGTTGGGGAGAGGTACACCAGGACCAGAAGCCAGGTGGGCCACCAGCACCGCCCAGGCGCTGCGTCTCTCAGCAGCAGCATCCGCAGCAGACAGGAGCCCACCTCTGACTGCCCATGGCCCACAGCACCACGGCCTACTCATGGCCCGCCTCCCTCAGGGCAGGGGTGCACATAGGGGTGAGGCTATTAGGGGTCCTGGGACCCAGCATCAAATAACAACAAACTGCCCAGAGAAGGTTCTTCCCTCTCCATCCTCGGCCAGCGTGTCCAATGAGGCCTGTCAAGGAAAAAGTCTCACCGGGCACTGCTCCTTCACACCCTCGAGCACCTGCTCTATGAGCCAGGAGCACAGGCTAGCACCCGCTGGCAGCGAATAGCACTGCTTTGTTCTCTCTGTGTGTCTTTTTTCATCTTTACGGAAAGCGGCCCAGATTTTCCCTGTAAGGTCCCTGTTAACTGATCAACTCGGTCCATATGACCCAGCAAGCCGTCTTCTGGGTACTTACCAAAAACATGGAAAACATTTATCTAAAGATATATGTACCTCTATGTTCATTGCAGCATTCTTCACCGTGGCCAAGACATGGAAACAGCTGAAGTGTCCTTCGACAGTTGATTGGATAAAGAAGATGTGGTACAGATACACAATGGAATATTACTCGGCCGTAAGAAAAGACGAAATAGTGCTATATTGCCGACAACATGGGTGGGTCTTGAGGTTATCATGCTAAGCGACATAACTCAGAGAGGAAAAGTCAAGAAATACATGACTTCACGTCAATGTGGGATACAAAACTGAAAGCAACAAACGAACAAGACAAACAAAAACTCATAGACACGGACAATAGTTTAGTGGTTACCAGTGGGTAACGGGGATGGGGAGGTAGAAAAGCATAATGTAAAGGGGGGTCAAATACATGGTGACAGAAGGGGATTTGACTCTGGGTGGTGAACACACAATATACAGATGATGTATTATAGAGTTGTACACTTGAAGCCTATATAATTTTATTAACTAAGGTCACTCCAATAAATTGAATTAAAAATAGAAATAAATAAAAGTAAGTTGAATCGCTTAGAGACAGACACTGAAATATTGGGCTGTTGGAAAAGTCATGACGCATTTTTGCAACAAAAAACATAGACAAGTACGTCATGACTTTTCCGACAACCCCATATTTACGGATGAAATGACATTATATAGGATTTGCTTCAAAATAATCTGGAGTGGGGGCAGTGAGTAGAGATATAGAGACACAAGACTGGCCATGATTTGAAATTTTTTGAAGCTAGTAAATGGGTATTATATATAATTCTATATATGTAATTCCATACATGTAATTGTATATGTGCTTATATAGAATTTTATACACAATTTTAATATATTTTATATATTGTAAATCATATCTAATTATATAAATTATATATAATATATTATATTGCAATATATTTTATATTCTATAGTATATGGTATGGGCACATTATATTATGTTATTCAGGCTGCTTTTGTATGTGTTTAAAATTTTCCATAAGAAAAGTTTTTTTATTGCTATACAAAAAATGTTTTAAGAAAGTTATTTTAAAGCGAAAGGTTAAGTAATGGTGTAAGTGGTATGTACCCGTATATGGCAGAAACTGTGACCATGAAGTATAAGCAAGCCAGGTGTGCAGAAGGCTGATGTGTTTCCCACATTTTCAGGTTTCTTTTTCTTTCCAGGAAGCAGGGGAGAGGTGCTTACCTGTCCCCACCCCCTCAGGACTCTCTCCCTCTGGCTGCATGGACGCCCTGGAGAGGTCAGTGGTCTGATGTCGACCTTCAGAGGGAGGGCAGGAAAGGAAGCATTGTCTTTGTATCTTTCCCCTTCAACGATATAAAAGTGCAATATTGCTAAAATGATTCCCATCTGGAAATCCAAATGCATTAGGAGTCAGCAGCCCTGGCTCAGGAGAGGCCAAGTCACAGGGCCCAGAGCTGAGGTCATTTGCAAGCCGTGCTGCAGGCCCCACCCAGAGGACCGCTGGCTCAGAGCTTGGAGCAGCTGGCCTCCTGGTCTACCCAGAGCCCAGTCCCAGGAATGGCACACCCGCAGTGGACCTGGGGCAGACCCCCAGGGGCTCAGGGCGTTGGGGATCAGCCAAAGGGACCTTGCAGAGCAGAGATCAGACCATGAGCCCCTCAGACAAAGGTGTGGGGGGCCTCAGAGTCCCCAACCAGAGTCCCAAATCTGCATCTTTGCCCCCTCAGGCTTCTCCCAAGGGGGACTCCAACTGTAGCTTTAAACCCAAACAATAAAATGCCTCCTTCTCATGGGCATTCATTTATTCATGCATTCATTCATTCGGTCATTTAACTAATACTTACTAAGTGCCTCCTGCATTCTGGGGACTGTTCTAAGAGTGGAAAACACATGAGGGAAAATGACACTTCCCAGGAGCCTTAGCAATGTCAAGTCAGAAAGGACACTTTCACCACCCCATTTCCAGACAGGGGATCTGAGGTGGTCACAGGAGGGTGGAAGGGGGCTGCAGAGAAGGAAGAGATGGACAAACAGCAACAGTAGCTGACCTTCGCTGAGCACCAACTGTATACTGTGCTATATACTTGACTCCCCACAGCAGCCCTGTGAGGTGGTGCAGTTAGTAGATGACTTCTGTATACTGAGCTGAAGAGAAGAGTGGGTATGTGACACGAGTGCTCGCCAAAGGCCAAACATCGCAGGGGGCCCTTCGTTTGATCTGTGTTGTCCAACATGGCAGCTACGCGCCACGTGTGGCTACTGAGCCCTTGAAACGTGACTGGTCTGAAATGAGACGGACCATAAATGTAAATACTTGCTGGATTTCCTCAGCTTTATATGGAAAAAAAAAAACAGAATGAAAGCATCTCATTGAAAATTTTTATTTGGTTACTTGTCAGAATGGTAACATTTTGGATCTATTAGGTTAAACATGACTTTCAAATATGTTATTAAAATTACTGCCACCTATTTCTTTTTACTCTTTCTAATGTGATTACTGGACATATTTAGGTTACATGTACATCGAGGTCTATTTTATAGAGGAGGAAACTGAGGACACGGGGGGAGCAGCTTCTGCGGTGCGCGCCCATGCGGTCACACAGGCCCGGGCTCAGCAGGGCTCCGTGCCTGGTTCGATGCTGTGCTGTCCTCGGCTTGAAATTCTTGACCCTTGAGCGAGGGCTCAGGCAGTTGCGTTTTTGCCCTGGTGCACACACAGAGGAAGGTTAGCTGCCCACACCAACCGGGAGAGAGGGTAGCAGAGCCAGGCACTAACCACCGCCCCCCACCCCATGCTCATCGCTGTTGTCTGGGTTCCTCAGGGAGGACAGCCCACAGGACGCAGCTATGAGTGGCCTCTGGGAACCCAGAGCCCATACCCTCATTCCGTTACCACATTGTTGGTGTTCCCCCGACTGCGGTCCTCTTTCTGGAAAGCCTGAAGTGGGCTTTCTTTCTTTCAGAATGCCATGCACATTCCCGGCCTTGCGATTTAATTTTCCCAAACCGGGCACAGCTCCTTGCTGTTCCAGAAGACTCCAGAAGCCTCTATCCAGCCTTCCAGGCAACTCCTCGCTCATTCCTGGGTAAAGAGAAGCTAAGAGGCCTAACTGGGAAGAGTTTATGATAGGTGGGAATATTATTAAGGCACTTAAGAGTTATTAACACCTTTTATGAACCTCATTGTTTAAAAGCCTGCCACGCTTAATCATTTTAGCACCGTTAAATCAGTATTAACAACAACCCCATGATTTGCACTCCGAAATGTCACCATTTGATAACACTCATGAAACCCAATGCTTTGGAAAATCTGGGCAGAACGGGTGAGCTCTCAGCTTCCCTGCAAATGGGCCTTCAGCATGGGAGGCCCCCAAATGAAAGGGAGAGTGGCCCCCCTACCTAAGGCCCAGGATATGCCCCCCCCAGCTGCTTCCCAGCCGTTCACTCATCACTACAACAAATGTGGCTTCCTGCTGGAGACCTCCTTGAGAAATCACCTGTGAACCCCACTTGGAAGAACACCCTAGAAGGTAGGCCTGGGAGGGACTTACAATCAAGAGGATACCTGATGGGCACTGTGTGCACCAAGTCACATTTTAATCTTTTTCATGCTTGTCAAACAATATAAAGGCCAGCTGAGTGGCTCAGTTGGTTAAGAGCTCGCTCAAGAGTTTGAGCTCTGAGCAACAGCAGTTCGAGTCCGGCCCGAGCTGAGCAGCCGCTGAGCTGGCAACAGGTAGCAGGATGGCTCAGCTAAAAACAAACAAACAAACTAACAAACAAAACAATATAGACTGTCTTTCTGGCCTCAGCCCAGGGGTCTCGTCCTCAGGAAAGCCCTCCCAGTCCTGCAAATCCAAAGCAGGTCCCCTCCTCCCCGTCTACGCTCTTCCCAGACCCTTTTACGTCAGCACCACAGCCTGCGATTATTTGATGTCCATTGTTTGCTTGCTTGGTTACTGCCTGTCTCATCTTACCTCCGCCACAATCATTCAGCCACTCAACACTCAGACCCTGTGAAGAAGCAGAGCCAGGATTTGAATCCAGGCTCCACCCACCAAGGCGGTTCTCCCCTCTGCACCCTCCTCCAGCATCATGGTCAAGATCTAGGCTCTAGAACCACGCTGCTGCTGAGTTTCAGTCCTGACCTCTGTATTTCACCTTCATCAGCTATAAACCAGGTGACAATGCCCAGCTCCTGGGCTTACGCAGGCAGTCGATGGTCTGTGAGGATTGAAACAGTACCCCGTGCAGGGTAAACACTGTATTAGCCGTCAGTGTGTTATCACGATTCTCCACTTCTTAGCAGGTACCAAGGTCCCCAAAGCACCTATCCGATGGCAAATCCAAACTGGGCCTCCGGCTTCCCTAAGCGCTCTCGAGCTCACTGACTTCTTCCAGCAGCTCCAGGAGGCACGTTCATTTATTGCTCCCATTTTAGAGATGAGACTGGAGCACCAAGAGGCTTCGCAAAGTGTTCCAGATAAAATGGTTGGTGATGGGAAGAGCCCAGAATCACCCTCGTAACCTTGATCTCTAGAACTCCCCCCCCCCATTAGAATCACCAGGAGGCACTGCCCCTTGGGCAACCCTTTCAGGCAGCCTTTCCACAGAGGGCGGCATGTAAGGGTGCTCTCTGGAGTGTGGTACACAGAGTGGTGAAAACCAGACACAACGTATGTGTCCATCCACAGGGGACGGCTCAGATAAAGGCTGCATCCAATCAAGAATGCTCTGCCGCCATGAAAGATGACGATAAATTTATATTCATCAGCATGGAAAGCTGTGACAGCTCGTGGGAGAAAGCAAGGCACTAAACAGCCTCCGTAGTGCATTCTATTTTTGCTTCAGTATAGATTTAAATATACATGTATATCTCCCCCCCCCCATGTGTGCAAATATACATAGAAATGAGACTGGAAGAAAACGCATCAAAAATGATAAAAGCAGTGTTTCTGGGCAGTGAGATTCTGGATTCTTTCCCCTTTCTTTCTTCTTATAATTTTGGTTTTCTCTTTTTTCGCCATGAGCATGTATTGCTTTTATAATTGGGGGCAGGTGGAGATGTAAAAAAACAACTTAGCTGCTTTCATTTTGAAAAATGTGCAACTTGCTTTCTGTACATAAGGACAAATCATGGGTGCCTTTCTAGATCCACAGAGAGAAAGCACAGCCTTCGTCTTTACTGCTGCTGCATGTATTCTAGAATTGGGAGAAACCATGATGTATTCAACCGTTCCCCTCATGATGGTCCAGGAGATGGGATGGCATGCCCATGGTTACATTACATTGTAAGAGCCCATTTCGACTCTTCCTCTGTTTACTGTCTTTAAAGAAGATACCACCCATGAGCCCCAAAAGAGCCACGAGGAAATCAATTCTACCAATATCCTGATGGACCTGGGGCCTGATTCTTTTCCAGCCCCACACCTTGATTTCAGGTGAGACCACAGCCTCAGTCAATACTTGGATTTCAGCCAGGTGAGATCCTGAAGCAGGGGCCAGCTAAGCCACGGCCAGACTCCTGACACACAGAAACTGTGAGATAATAAATGCCTGTTATTGAAGCTGCTCAGTTTATGGTCACTTGTTACGCAGCAGTAGGTAACTACAACAAGCTCATTCGTTCATTCATCCAGCTCAGCTCTGCTGAATGGGGCTGCCGGACTTAGCAAATAAAAATACTCAATGCCCAGTCAAGTTTGCATTTCAGTCACATTTGGGACACACTTATGCTAAAAAAAATTCTTCGCTGTTGAACTGAAATTCAAATTTAACTGGGCATCCTTATTTTATCTGGTGACCCCAAAGCTAGACCATATGCAAAAATCCCAAGCAGAGAGCTGAGCCAATCCTTACCTTCTGCTGGGAGGGCCTGTACAGCAGACCCAGGGGACACCCCGAAAACAGCTCGGCAAGGCTAGCTTGGGACTTGCATTTTGGCTCCCTGGCCCAGAATGTATCCAGAACATGCCTGCAGAACTCCCAGCAAGGACAGTAGGTCCCCAGAGCCCTTCGCACCTAGTGCTCCCCTGTCTGATGGGAATCAAGCCCACATAGCGCTGCCGAGTGACTGCAGTTCTTGGCCCAAGTTACAAAGGTAAGTAAGACACAGTCTTATTCCTCAAGAGGGTTATGGTCCAGTAGGGGACAGGCGGGAGGGAGGGAGAGAGAGAGAGAGAGAGAGAGAGAGAAAGGAGGAGGGGTGTGGTTCATATGTGCAAAAATCTCCGAAGGAGCATTATTCATAACGGCCCAATACCGGACATAGCCCAAAGGTCCCTCAACAGGACACTGGATAAACCAACTGTGGTGCAGTCACACGGTGGAATACAGCTCAGCAGTGAAAGGATTGAGCTGTCCACACACACACACACACACACACACACACACACACACAC